CACTGCTGCGCTATTTCGGGATACCAGAGATATCCCAAAATAGCTATTCTGCATCTTTTGAGCATGCTCTTTATTTCAAAATATAACGGGCTCGCTATTCCGACACCCCTGTAAACCTCGTTCCACGAGGAGTAAGGGACGTTTCGGAATAGCCGTTTATTTCTCAATAAGTGCTGTGTAGACAGTGCCAAATTTTGAAATAAGCTATCTCAAAATATCATCGAAATAAGAGACGCAGTTTGTGCAGCTCAAACTGCAAACCTTTATTTTGACCTATGGTGCAGTGTAAATGCACCCATGTAGAGCTCCACAGCCAACCTGACAGGTAGTACCTAGGGTGAAAAGCTTCTGACAGTCCTGCACGCGGTGCGCAAGCACCTGAATGGAATAGAGATGAGCAGCACATCTTGAAGAACAGGTTACAAAGGGAAGTGACCATTTTACCTGTGGCCTGTGCTCGTAATTTATGTTAAATACAGGCAATCCCCGACTTACGCGGATCCGACTTATGTCGGATCCGCACTTACAAACGGGGCTTTCTCACCCCGGAGGTCGAGGTGGCGGATTGCTACCTGCGAGCTCCGGGGCGAGAAAGCCCCGTTCGTAACCTGCTCCGGTGCCCCTGGGGAGGCAGGGAGAGGACAGCGCAAGAGAGGGAAGAGTAGAGCAGAGGTGAAGAGGAATGGTCCTGACCCTTCCCTGTGTTGGGGGAGGAGTTGCATGGCTGGTGGTCCCCCAGATGGCCTCTGACCATTCCCCTGTGGTAGAACCGCATGTGAGCACATGACCAGAGCTTCTCTGAGCTGCCATTTCCCCAGCCAGAGGGAGTAGGGGATGACATCAGAATGAAGAACCACTTCCTCTCCCCTGCTAGGCAGAGCCCGTGGGCCCGATGCAGCCTGTAACTTGCATTGATCCAGCCTGTTACGCTTGGGATTCCGGACTCCATAGCAGGACAAGCCAGCTCTGGCTTGCTCTGTTGTGGGAAGAGAGAGCCCAAGCCTCGTGGGCCGGATCAAGACATGCCGCATGCTGGGCCATAGGTCCCCATCCCTTTAACTAGATACAAATTTAATCACTAGCAGAACTTAAAATTATCGATAAGGTGAACTGATTTCGAAAGAACATGGTTTTCAAAGAAGAATAAATAAATTAAAACTAAATAAATATTTAGCTACCAGATTGCAGAAAATATCTCAAAAGTAAGTGACATGTTATTGCATATACAGGCAGTCCCCGACTTACGCGGATCCGACTTACGTCGGATCCGCACTTACGAACGGGGCTTTCTCGCTGCTCCGGTGGAGGCAGAGTTGCTCTGCCCCGGGCTTCCTGGAATCAGCTGCTGATCAGTTTCAGCAGCAGCTGACTTGGGGGCGCCTGGGGTTCTTAAGTTGATTCTGTATGTAAGTCAGAACTGGCGGTCAGTTTCAGCAGTGTCTGAATCTGGACGCCAGTTCCGACTTATATACAGATTCAACTTAAGAACAAACCTACAGTCCCTGAGGCAGAGTTGCTCTGCCCCGGGCTTCCTGGAATCAGCTGCTGATCAGTTTCAGCAGCAGCTGACTTGGGGGCGCCTGGGGTTCTTAAGTTGATTCTGTATGTAAGTCAGAACTGGCGGTCAGTTTCAGCAGTGTCTGAATCTGGACGCCAGTTCCGACTTATATACAGATTCAACTTAAGAACAAACCTACAGTCCCTATCTTGTACGTAACCCAGGGACTGCCTGTAGTGTTGGGCCAAGAGCCAATCCCTGCGGAACCCTCCCAAAAACACATCGCTTGAGGATGATTCCCCATTTACAATTGCACGTTGCGACCTCTGGCTTAGTTTTAGTCCATTTAACATGTTCCATATTAATTTTATGTCATTCTCATTTTTTAACCAAAATGTTGTGTGGTACCAAGTTATACACCTTGCCAAAGTGAAAACATATTATAGCAACCCTCTCAGCCAAACTACAAATCTTGTCAAAAAAGAGAGCGGGTGAGCTTGACAGGACCTCTTTTCCATACACCCATCTTGATTTGAAATTAATCACGTTGCCCTCCCTCAATTCTTTATTAATTGAGTCCTGCGTCCGCTGCTCCGTTATTTTGCGTGGGATTGATGTCAGACTGGCAGGCCTGGAATTACCTGGGTCATCCTGTTTACTCTTTTTAAAACTTGGCACAACATTTGTCCAGTCTTCTAGGACTTCCCCACTGCACCGCCTCCAGGCTAATTCATTTTCTATGGATTTCAGTTTCCTTTCTAGGGTGGGCGGCTTCATCTTCTAACCTGTCGTTTAGTCCCACTCTCCCTTTGCAACGTACGAGTTTCTCCTCTTCTGGAAATGTGAAGGAGTTTCATCACCTAAACGTATTACAGCCAATGTTGTCTTCTCATAGAGCAAATTCTACTCAGTCCTTTCTCAGGCTAATTCCTCAAGGATAGGGAAGAATTGCAGTCAGACCGCTCCAATGCTTCAGTGGAGACACTACCTATGCTGATGGTTGAGGTTGGGCCCTCACTGTACAGGTAATCCGCTTCCCTGAGAGGCAGTAGCCAGATCGAAAGCAGAGTTGGTCTGTTGACCTACCACTGTTCACGCTGAGGGTCAGGCTGATATAGCTACGTCTCTCAGCGGTGTGGATTTTTCACACCCCAGAGAGACACAGCTATGCCGATGTAAGTTCCCGGTGTAGACTAGCTATCACTGCCAGGTTGTGGGTGGCCAGACCCAGGAGCCAGTACCCAGAGCCAGCATCTGCCACCACAAGACAGGAGTCAGCTGGATCAGGACACTGGGAAGTTAGGTAAATTGGAGATCAAGACCGTGCATCAGGAACCAGAATCAGGCTGAGTCAGGATTTATGAATCCGATGCCAGGAGTCCCACTGGGTCAGGATGTGGGAGTGGGAGCAGGAAGCGCACAGTCCAAAACAAGGTGGAATTCAGACAACTTCCTGCTGGAGGCTTAATTAGGGCCAGGAGGCCAGTCAGCTGCTCTGGGCCTCCTCCGTTTTTACTGCAGGGTGATTTGCATGGTTTCTGGCGAGGGATCTGGTACAAGAAGCTACAAAGGGTCTCTATTGTGGGACACGTTCGTGGCCACCAGAAGAAATTCAGTTGTCACCTAAGAGTCCTGCGAAGGTGGTGTCGTGGCACAGCTGAGCCGCCAGCTTTTCAGGTCTTTGGGGAGATCAGAGGCTTTCTCTCACAAATGTGATCCCCTTCCAGGTCATGTGCAGTTCTCACTTGACAATGGCCGGCTTGCTAAGTGGAGTGATGGAGACAGCCGCAGAGCAGATGAGGGCAAGCAGGTCCTGGTAGCAAGATGCATTCAGAAAGTGCAATGCATCTTGAAAATGTGGGCTGGTTCCAGACTGGGTCCTTGTGGGCTAGAGCCGTATCTTTGGGACAAGGTACAGTTGGACTGGGAGAAGAATAGGGCCCCTCAGAGCTGTGATTGGTTCAGGGCCTTAGCCCTGTACGGATGCACCTGGTTCTTGTGGGCTACAAACACTTGGGCCAGCTGTGCTGTGTTGGGGAGGGCGAATACGGTGGAAGTGGTGTAGACGAGCCTCAGTGCAGAGCTGTATGCTGGGCCTTGGGTGACCCATGGAACTTGGCGTTTTGTCGGAGTAAGGCTGTTGGGTTCAGCCTGTTTCAAAAGAATTTGATATGAACCTGCAGAAGAAGTTTGCGACGCCTGAATAACACATCTTCCATTCGTCTCCTTCTTGGAGACAGAGGAAACTGTAAGCACCCTGGCGAGTCAGTTGCATGAATATGCCAACTGCCCCCGTGTGTCCAAGTAACTCCGGGATCGGGGGAGGGGGTAACGGCTCCAAACTGTCCTCTGCTTAAGGGTTTGGTGATCAGCACAGATGTGGGGGCTGCCAGCCTTCCTTTTACAAAAGAGACCAAGGTGCTGGCTTGTGATGTTAATTTGCGGATGAGCCCCCAGCTGGGTTCTCTTGGAAATATTCTTACAATGCCCATCAGTTCAGGCTCCGACATTGTATGTAACCGTCCGAACGATGGCTGGGCTACGTTCTTCTTCTCCAAGGCGTCAGTGTAGTTACGGTACGAGGAGGGAAGCTCCGTAGATCCCCCAGTGGGCAGCCCCCCTACTTGAGCCATTTTGGGTCGGGGCGAATGTTCGCTGGTCCCTGGCTCTATGGTCAGCAGAGGTCTGATGGGAAGGTGACTGTTCTCACCAATGAATGAGGGGACCATGACGGTTTGGTCAGGAGATGCCGAGGATCAGGGACAGTGCAGGGGATGGATCACCCCAAACTATATGAATAATGACCTCCAGCTGAGCTGCCTTGCTTGCTCCTGCAGCCGCTGATTCGCCATGGTCAGCTGCACAACTTGGTCATGGTACCAGCCCTCCGCTGTGTTGGCTCTGCAGAACTAACAAGTGTAGGCAGGAGTAAAATGTCTTGGTTGCTACAGCCGCTAGATCTGGCAGATGCCCCAGGAACAGCTCTGCGGAGCGTGACTGCCCTGGTCACAGTCCCTCCAACAGTGGAACTACACGTCACAGAGCGGGAGTGGGACCTTCCCCCCCCCCCCCCCCCACACAAACCCCCCCCCCCGAAACATCAATATGTGCAGTGCTCCCGAAATTACCCTGCAGCCAAATATACTCTGTGCCTAGGTTAGTCAATGGTTTGTCAATGGTCAACGGCGCTTCAGTATCTGCAGCTATGGAATTGCATGCTTGTTGTGGCTCCTCTGTAGTGCTGTATGGGTCCTGTGTAGGTTTTACTGGGCAGCAGAACTGGTTGGCTTTTTCTGTGACCTGCACTCGTGAGATGCGCCCTCTGCTAGGGGGCGCGATGCATACCTGGCTAGGAATGAAGCAGTGATAACTCCAGTGGGTTAGCCATTGGAGAGAAGCCGGGAGAAAGGGGGCCTGGAGTCCTGTCGTTCAGAAGTGTCCGCTGGAGAGCTTGCTTTTCTCCCCCGTGTTTCTAAAATGAGTTTGTTCCTTCTTCCCACAGACAATTTTAGGTACACGTGTGACATTTGTGGGAAAAAATACAAATACTACAGCTGTTTCCAGGAGCATAGAGACCTGCACGCAGTGGATGGTGAGTCCTGCTTTGGCACCTTCTCAGATCGGGCTGGGCAATAGCGGCTGTTTTGTGTGGGGTTAGACGGGATGTGACTCACGGGCAAAATGCTGCCGGGGCTCTTCCAGTAGTGGACAGCCACACTCATTCCTCACAGAGAGCGCTCCCTCACACTGGGGCCTGCCGTCTCAGCACACCAGGGCTTCATACGCACTTTGAGGAGTCCTACAAATTTGTTGTCGTTCTGGACCTCAAGGTACATTGGCAGGCTAGCCCTTAGCTAGGCATGGTCAGGTTGTGTCTAGTTTCTGACCTCAGAAGGCCCAGTTTTAGCATGGCGCTGCAGGTAGCCTTGCCAGCCAACGCAGCGCTGAACAGTGGCCGTGGTTGAGCCAGTGGACTTCAAAGGAGACTTCGGCAAATTTTTTCTACCAAAACATTATTTTTTTTTCAATGAAAAATGCAGATTCCGGTCCAAAAATACTTTGAGAATTTGCATCGATTTTGACAAATAGGCTTGGTTGAGAAAAATCTTTTTTTGGAAAGGTTGGCATGGTTTGTTTTGACATTTCTGAAAGGAATTCCTGGTGAAATTCATAAAGGGACTGAGGGGAAGTCTACTTGGACCTAATAGCCCAGTGGCCAGGCACTCACGTGGGGTGTGGAAGAGCTGAGTTTAAGTCCTTTCTCCAGAGCTGGGATTATTTATACAAAGACCTGGCCCAGAGCAGTGGTTTTAACCTGGAATTCCCCCATCCCAGGTGAGTGCCTGTGCTACAGGGCAGTTCGCCAGACTTTTATGAATGGTGCCTAAAACCAAAATATTGTGTGTTTTTTCTTTTAAGAGAAATGAAATTATTTTTCTGACTTTTTCATTTCCGGAGAATTCCATCTGAGTTCCTGTCAGGCCCAGAATGACTTTTTTGTTCCCAGAACTGCTGGTGAATTGAAAAATGCACTTATTCTCCTTTAAAGGACTGTTTTCCAGTGTGAACACCTTGAATTGGGTCAGTATTATTGCATTGCCCCAATGGTTTTCACCAAGCATTTAAATATATATAGGCTGTTTCCGATTGAAATGTTGGAACCCCAAGACTCGCTCTGAGCTCAGTTGGCAACCCGCCCCTCCCCCCGCACCCTGTCAAGGTGCTGGAATCTCCGTCCTTCATGCAAGGTCATCGACATTAGGTCACTGGGATGGAAAGACAGGCTACACACGTCTGCTCCTCCCTGGAACGTGTCGTCCTTACTCTCTAGTTCAAACTTCATGAGGAAGCCGAAACTTTACCGATGGCTGCCGCTTGGGTTTCTCCAAGGCGCTGCTTGCGTGGGTGCCTTAGAGTGGCGGGGTGTGTTTCAGCAGACGTGGGTGTGTGGCAGGTGTCCATGTGCTCTAACAAAGGCCTTGAGGATCTATGTACACTAGGGCTGGGCATACTCAAGTATTTCCCTGTGTGAATGCTGCCTGGGAGATGAGGGAATGGGAGAAGGGAGCCCGGCTGATTCCGTGGTGCTGAGCTGTCCTGGCCCTTTGGCTGAAACACCGGAGTAAAACAAGGCCATTTAAGAAGATTTAATTTCTGTTTTGTTTCTTCCCCCACCCTTCTTCTATTCTGTGTTAGTTTTTAGTGTGGAAGGGGCCCCAGAAAACCGGGCAGGTAAGCAGCGATCCTTTGTGTGCTTTCTTTCACAGACCTTTCCCAGCATTCAGTATTCCCAGGCACAGTAAAGCCAGTTCTGCCCTCACAGAAGCCAATGGCATTTTGGCCTTGACTTCAGTGAGCGCCGGCTCAGTCTCTCAGTGCATAGCATGGTTTCGTAAGCCAGTAGTGTGATGCCCAGCCCTATTAGATACCAGGCTTTTGTTGCAGGTGCGTTTAATCGAGACGTGCGAAAATCAGAGAAACGAACGATAAGTGTGAGTCCTTTTTGTGGCATAAATGATGTTAATTTATAAAGTGGGTTGGGTTCTGATTGGCTGCTAGCTGTGCCGTGAGATGGCCATTGGTCAGGGAACCTATGGCCCAGACCATATAGCCCAGTGTTTGCTGGTCTGCTCAGAATGAGTCCTGTATTACTAGGCCCAGTTTCAAACAAGGTAAAATGTTTGGTTTCTCAGGGAGGGGTGCAGTGGAAGACAGAAAATATAGACCAAGCTTTGAAATTTGCACCATCTTTCTCTGATTTTTGATTTATCTTTAGCTCATGTTGTTGGGTGAGAAGGGATTAATAGCTGGGTGGACATGAGGAAAGAGGTGTGACAAGGCAGAGGGACTGAAAGAAGGAAGCTGGATCGTTGTGTGTTGTCAGATAACAATGGACCTGCATGTGCCAATGCCTTCGGTGCCATGTGAGTGTGTACAGAAAGCCATGGGGAGTTGTCAGCTTCCAATTGGTTTTGTTCTTTTGCAGACCCTTATGACCAGACAGTCATAGCAGCAGATGAAGTGAAAGAAGAGGAGCCCGAACCATTTCAGAAGATTGGTCCAAGTATGATTGATAATACCGTTTTGGAGGTCATAAAACTTAGCCTAAGGTTTTGAACCTGGCACTTGCCAAGGTGCCTGCTGGGTGACAGTGGGAGAGCAATACACTCAGGTGAAGATGCTGAAACTGAAGTGGTTGCAGCGTGCGTCTCATTCCTTATCAGTGGGAAACTCAGCAGCTACGTAAACTGAGAAATGTAATTGAAACATCTGCAGAAGTCCCCTTTACATGTCTGTTACACATCCAGGAAATGGAGTTTGTTCATAATGCAAATCCCCTTCTTGTCTGCATTTTAATACAGTACAGGCTGGCGTTCCAAGGTGAGGACTTTCACCTTGGCCACCTGGGTTCAAATCCAGAATTAGGTGACAGATGAAAGGAAGTTTGGTAGAGTTGATCCGAGCTGCAGGTTGGGGGGTTGAGGTGCATTGGCAGAGCTGACTGCTTGGTGGATGGGCAAACCAATGTAAGTAAAACAAAGTGTATGTCTATGCTTGCTAGTAGATTGACATTACTGCAATCTTTGCAGCAAGTGTTGATTTACTGGGTCTGGCAAAGGCACACTAAGGCCAGGTCTACACGAGACCTGGCAATTCGGCTTAGAATACATAGCTGGAGTCGGCTTACCTTAAGCCGAGCTTGGCGGTGTCCCCACAGTGGGAGGCTGACAGGCGAATGCTCCCATTGGCTTCTCTTCCACCTTACAAAAGGAGGAGTGCCGGATTCCAGAAGGCATGCCCTCTGAGCTGGATTTAGCAAGTCTTAGCTAGACTCACTAAATCAAACTCCCAAAGATCAATCGCATCAGCGGCGATCTTCTGTGTAATGAGGATAAGCCCTAATTCTCCCTTCAATTTGTGTATTCCACCTCCCCAAGAAACGTAAGGGAAGTTACAATGTAGTGAAAATACCGCGGTAGCTAGATCTAAGTATGTCAACTTCAGTGACACTGTTCATGTAGCTGAAGTTGTGTAACTTAGATCAATCTACCTACCTCCTGTAGTATAGACCAGGCAAAATGACCAGACTTTGACCAAGCTTTATGCTGAACCTTTCCAATTTGCAAATGTTGAGTTAACTTGTTTGCTCTCTTTCGGTATTTGCGGTTCTGCATTGACCTGATCTCTCTGGCTGTGGCTGGAAGGGATGGTGCTAAACTACCAAGTCATTTTTGTACTATTGGCACCATCAGACACAGCCGGTACCGCAGGTCTTGCAAGATCTTTTCACCTGAGAGTTCCAGTCCCAATAAGCTCTGGAAATATGAATCCAAATTTGCACTTCTGGGTGCTTATGTGAACACTCCGTGGCTTATCCATCACTAGATGTGGGTAGCTGCTGCCTCTCCATCTGCAGAGGCAGTATGGCTCACTGGCTCCTACACGAGACAGGGAGTCAATAGCCTGGGATTCGCGCCCTTGACTTGCAGCTCTGAGTTTGGCAGCCCACTTAACCTCTGAGCATCTGGTGCTCTGTTCATATCTAGCCTCTGAGCTTTAATGTTCCCCTCTGTGGGAGAAAAAAGGCTGCAGGTGGTGGGCACCCATCACAGGGCTTCACCTCCCTTGGTGAAATCAGTTCTCGGCGCATGCTTGAGGTGCCCCGTCTGAACGAAGGCCCATGAGTCACGGGTTTTCTTTTTATCGAGTTCGCACCTAAAAAGGAAGAGAGCGAGTCATTCTGTGAGAGGCTGCTGGGTTCCTTTCTCACGGCGTCTTTCTTTCATCTTCACAGAAACTGGCAATTACACCTGTGAATTCTGTGGCAAACAGTACAAATACTACACTCCCTACCAGGAACATGTGGCGCTACACGCACCTATTAGTGAGTATCCTGCTGGAAAGCCATTTCATTGCCGAGTATGAGTTACCATGGCGGTCGCTGACTGTAGGGGCATACTGGAGAGAGGGATTCCGCCATTCCACCCAGTGTGCATACGGCTCTTAGGCAGCAGACCAGAGCGTTGTAGAGCAGAAGTGAAGCCATTTCTTAAAGGGATGCTGTTCAAGTTAGTAAGACCCATAATCTGACCGACCATTTTACCAGCTCTCTGGAAAAGCAATGCAGTTCTGGGGGTCTGGGTTTTTTGTTTTTTTTTTCCAGAAAAAAACAACAAATGGTCTGGTAGCACTTTATAGACTAACAAAACATGTAGATGGCATCATGAGCTTTCGTGGGCACAGCCCACTAACAAGCACCAGTACTCTGTATACACAAGCATACTCCTGTACAAATTTCCGCCTGCCCTCCCAAGCAGCCATAACGTAACAAGCCAGCGTCCACAGCCAACCTCTCCTAAGCCACACTAAATAACACACGAGCCTGCGTTGTCTTACACGCTGCCGAGAAACCGTTACAGAAAGCTCCAAATGGTTTTTGAAATGACGAAAATGACTTGGGCAGGTTGCGGCTAAATCGCAGGGCCGATGAAATGTGTGTGCCGGGGAGTCGCTGCGTGCTACAGACACTGAAATCGACTCTAAAGGGCAGAGCTCTCAGATGAAGGAGAGGTCATGAGCAGCTGTTACACAAAGCACATATGTAAACTTCTAGTGAGCTAGTCCAGGGAAATTCTAATGACATTCGTTCTGGCAGAGTTTGGGGGCTGGTTCGGATACTTCCGCTTTCATCCGTGTGGTCCTTCCCCGGGTTTTGCCGCACACTGTATTTTATTGCAGTGGCCGGAAGCCCATGTGGATGCTGGTTTGCTCTCCTTTCTTCATACAGCAGTGTGATGACTGTTACTGGAGGACGGATGTGCATGGCTCTGGAATTAGATTTTGATTAACTGCTCACCGTAGCCAGCAGGGGGAGCTCACGCCCTGTATCTTCAATAGTTCACCAAAATCGTGGTTCCGATAGTGAGGTTTTGAATTCTCATTATTATGCTTATTTGGAATGGAGTGGGTGTAAATTTTACCCCCCACAGAGAAGTAAACTGGGGACACTGTCCACCAGCCGTCTGTATTTTTAAGGAAGGTCAAATGTAGTTGGCTCTTACCAGCGTGGCTGTTTCCTTACCCGTTTTGCGGAGTGTTGAGATGGTTTCCAGGACCGTAGTGCAAGGTAGGGAAGCACAGGTCATCTCTGGCACCCGCTCTCACCAAGTAAGTGTTCTAAGGCCCTAGCGACACAAGCCTACGTTCCCAGCTGTCCTCAGGAGGTCTCCCCTGGCTTCCCCCTGGTGCAGTAGGCAATGGTTTCCACTATAGGTGTAGGTGGCATCCAAGGAGCGCCACCACTGGTGCATGGATGGCTCCTCAGCTAGCCAAGGCTCTGGGGTCTCCAGTCCGAGGCGCTACACCGTAACCAAGGGGAGTCAGTACCGGTGTGAATAAGGAACATTGGACTGGCGTTAGCATGGAATCTCGGCTCACCTAGTGTAAACTCCCCCTTCCCAGGACGTGCCAGAATAAAGGTCTCTCCATTCTTCCTGGCAGTACGACAGTGGATTCTAGTCATGGCCCAGATTGCCCCGGGGGCCGAGAAAGACAAATTGATCATTATCATGGTGCTGCTGGATGACCCACCAGAAAATTTTCCCCTTCCTGTTTTCTGTGGAGAACATTTTGGATTTTCAATCCAGCGTATGACCCATACTCGCAAGGCAAACAGGGTGGCTGCATTTGCGTCAGTGGAATCCTAGATTCAGGGTCTCTTGTGTCTTTAAAAAAACCCTCATGATTTAGGACATTCCGGGAGGGGGAATTGAGTGGAGCGAGAGACGGTGGAATTTGACCCATTTCACTGAGAGCCAGGAGAGCTACTGAGGTAAAACCTGAGTTGCAGGGAGGCTAAGGGATCGGGAGTGCTCAGAAGTAGGGTGACGTCTGCATTCTAGGAGAGGCCCTGGATTCCAGAGAGGTCTCTGGTTGTTGGAGGAAGAGGACGAGTTTCCAGAGCTGGTGCGAGAGGCCTCCTCACACCCTGGCTTCTGCTGCTGCGTTAGCAAAGGGAAAGGCAGTGAGGCAGGGGTGACAGAAAGGTAGCCGGCCCTCTTCCCTGCTCTTCTTGGGTGGGAGAGTGGCTGTGTTGGTGTAAATGGTTTTTAATGAGTTTTAAAAGACATTTTAAAATAATGTCACCTGCAACTTGAAGGTTTTTTTTTTCGACTGTGCATTTTTGAGTATCCCCCTCTTATTTTCCTTGCCCAGACTTTTCACATAATTTACTGCAGGTTGAACCTCTCTGGTCCAGAACTCTCCCTGGTCCGGAAACGTCCGTCATCCCGAATGATTTGAGTTCGCCGGATGCCCACTCTTCATGGGTGTGGTCAAGTTTCCCGTAGTCCCATAAAGTTTGTTTATAGCCACCAGTCCTGGCTCTCAGGTTTCTGGGCTGTTATTTAGCTCTAATTAACCCCTAACTGTCTTCTAACGGCCCAGTCAGCAGTGGAAGTGTTGGTAGTGCTGCTAGACAATATTGGCCTCCCGTCATCCGGAAAATTCCCTGGTTCAGACCGGTCAGGTCCCAAGGGTGCCAGATGAGAGAGGTTCAACCTGTATGATAAAACTTTCATCTGACACAGTGAGTTTTTGCCCACAAAAGCTTATGCCCAAATAAACCTGTTAGTCTTTCATGTGCCACAGGACTCCTTGTTGTTTTTGCGGATGCCGACTAACATGGCTACCCCTCGGAGACTTTACTATGACAAGCCCTAGTGACTGAGAGAGACGGGCTGGTTATTAAAGCCAGCCAGCTTTTGGGGTTCTCCTGGGCCTCATAACCTCCTCACTCTCCAAAGTCCCCATGAGGTAACTTTGAACACTTCAGTTTTCATGCAGTGGGTGACACTTACCAATTATCAATGCCCTGGCAAGCTGGAGAATTAAAGGGGTGTTCATTTTAATCCCAGCCCGTGGCATTGCAAATAATGAGTCCTCCCGCCAATCCAGACGAGCCAGAGTGGGGCCAGGCAAGGAAAGCTCCAGCCGTAACTCACGGATTTTCTGTGTCTCACTTGGGTCCAGCTTCCCTTCTGTAGTGTAGCTTTTTCTTCTCTGATGCCCTTTGAAAACGAGACCAATAGCAGGATGAGCAGAGGGCTCCCCTCCTCAGGCGTCTGCAGCAGCTTTCAGTGCGGTTGTGGGTCCACGTCACTGATTTCTGGGCAGATTGGAGACACGTTCCCGCGTGGGATGGAGCATTTGCAGGGAATGAGGATCATCGCCAGGAGTTCTTAATGCAAAAGCGCCTCAGGAAGAGACACATCTGTGCTGGGTTTGGGGAAGAGCGCCTATGGGAGTTGGGGGGTCATTTTCTAAAAATGTTCCTGTGTCACTGACAGGTCCATCTAGGCTAAATAAAAACCTGTGTTGGGGGACCCATGTACAATACAGTTCACACCAGGGAACATAGAATCATAAATCATAGAATACTAGGACCGGAAGGGACCTTGAGAGGTCAAGTTCAGTCCCCTGCCCTCACGGCAGGACCAAGCACCATCTAAACTATCCCTGATAGATGTCTATCAAACCTGCTCTTAAATATCTCCAGTGATGGAGATTCCAACAGCCTCCCCAGGCAATTTATTCCAGTGTTTGACCACCCTGACAGGAAGTTTTCCTTAATGTCCAGCCTAAGCCTCCCTTGCTGCAATTTAATCTTCTTGTTCTATCCTCAGAGGCCAAGGAGAACAATTTTTCTCCCTCCTCTTTGTGACACCCTTTTAGGTACATGAAAGCTGCTCTCATGGCCCCTCTCCATCTCCTCTTTTCCAAACTAAAACCCAATTCTTTCCATCTTTCCTCCTAGGCCAGGGCACCCTCCTTCCTTGTAAGTGAGTTTTAAACATTTCCCAGCCATTGCCGCACAGCTGTTCGTGGCTGACGAAGATTTAGGAGCATGTTGAAAACATGCATAAAGTCTCCACCTATAGTACAAGATGGACCTGTGTGTTCTCCATGGTAGAGGATGACTGTGTTGTGATTAGAGACCCCTCACCCAGTGGTTTATGGGGAGCCAGAACAAGCACAGCTGGGATGCTGACCAAACAAAAAAGCCTCAAATGTCGTGGCTTGGAATCTCGCAAGGGAGAAAACCCAGAGCGCTACAGCTGTGCTAGCAAACTTCAGAGTTGCTGGTACAGACTGGTAGGATCTGATAAAACCTGCATGAGCATCTGCATCCATCACGCGCATGAGGGAAACCTCTTCTTTAAGGCCAGGCCCATCCAGCCCTTCAAAAGGGAGGCATTATCAATCCCAGTTCCTGACCAAAGAGGACAAAGCTCTAGTTCTCATGAGGTTGGCTAGGCCTCTCCTTAAGCTTCTTCCATTTCAGGGGGCCATACTGGGGAAAACCACATCACCCGGTCTGTCGCTGCCCTGGCACCAGACAGGATGCTCCAGAGGAGACTTGGGGCTCTTCCCTCGTAGACAGAAAACTAGATAGTTGTGAGCACAGATATATAGATATATATATATTTATTTTTTTACCTGGACGGCCACTGTCCCCGTGGCAGTGACTTCAGCTCCGTGTCTCCAATTCCAGGCACTGGAAGCCGTCACCTGCTACCACGTTCTTCCAAGTTAAGAGAGTCTTGCAGAGCATCCCAGATTCCTTCCGGAGTTCACGGTGAGGTTCCGTCTCAATCAGGCAGCTGCCTCTCCAGCCTTTATTACCACAACTGTCCTTTAGCCTGGCAGGATCTTCCTTCAGAAACTTGATGTGGAAGGGGGGAGTCTTTTCCCTGGAGTGGACTAAAGTACTTAGAAAGCCCCTCCCCTTCCCCATCGTTTTATTTCATTTGACACTAAGTAGGTTTAGCACATTGTTAAAATGGCTGCGTGACTGTCTTCTACTGTTGCCATCTGGCAGGCGTAGAACTTGAAACTCCAGTCCCCTGATACAAGGCAACACTGCTATAGTGGAACATGGTTTGTCTAGCCCGGTCTCCTGCCTCTGCCCATGGCCAGCACCAGATGCATAAGAGAGAGGTGCAAGAAATCCTATGATGGGCAGATAGAACATGACCTACCCCCCACATTAGATCTGCCCCAGTCTCTAATATTTCGAGATTGGCTTCAGCCTTCCAGCGCTCTTGTTGTTGGTACTGACTGTTTCAACTCAATTGTCTTGCTATTCATGTACATGTCCAGTTTGCATTTGCATCTTGGCCTTCACAATATCTTGTGGCAGTGAGTTCCACAGGGGAGACCTCCGTGTCTGTTCAGGAGAGGAGCGAAGGATCCACACGAGCCTGTCAGCATGCAGTCATCAAGCATAATTGCTTAGATCTGGACTGCAGAGTGAAATTGCAGTTTGTTGTCTCAAAGAGTAAAAGGATCCTTTTGTCTCAGGCCACTGGAAATACTACTGTGACACCTGGCAGGCTGTGGCCTGTCCCATAGGATTTGGGCTGGCCATCCTATTTCAGATGCGGTAGCTTCTGCTGCTGCCCTAGCTCCTCACTGAATGACGCTGAAGTACCACCACTCAGCATCTGGCAGGGAAGGAGAGTATAGTAAGCCCCACCCTGACCACGTGTGTCCTCAGGAGACGTGGCGAGACATAGTCTCCATTTGCACTGGCCAGTGTCCAGAGTAGGGATGTTAAGTATCGATTAATTCAGTAGTCAATGGAATCCCCCCCTTCCCCACTGCTGCTATGCTTCTTTAAAAATGCAGAGTGGCGGCGGGGGAGGGGAACCTCTTGTGCCGAAATAGAGAGGTGGGACTGGCAGCTGCCACTTAAAAATGCAGAGGGGCAGGGTGAGGGTTGTCTGAAAGCCGGCGCGAGACCAGAGAATGAGCCAGCTCCTCTCTGTCCCTTTAAGAGTTGGCGGGGGGGTGTTCGAGTAGTCGATAGGGCTACCCAATAAGCTCCTGCGTATCGGGTAGTCGACTACTCGACTGCTCCTTCTCATCCCTGGTCCAGAGAGGGGAGAATCTGTTAGAAGTTGTCAGGTTGTCTGGGCATCACCGTTCAGGCTTCCCAATGAGAGCAGTGCCTGGAGCGCAGCAGGACCTGGGCTAGCCTGGCATGGTCCTGATGCTGACGTTTGGCCGGGTCCCATTGCTTTCTCTTGGTGGAGATTGGGCACAAAGCAGGAATAGACAGGAGCAGCTCCCGGGGCTGCTCCTCGGCCATCAGGCCAGGAAGGACCATCATGACCTGTCTGACCTGCACGTCGCAGGCACAGAACCTCTCCCACCCAGGCTTGGTGAGACGTAGGCCGGGAACCACCCCTCCTGGCACTTGGGCAGCCGGATTTTCCATGAGGACTGGAACGAAGCCTGGAAAGCAAAATCAAGCCCTCCTTCCACTCCCCACCCCCAACTCAGCTGGCCACACGCTGCCTGTGCCTATGCTGCCGTAGAGCCACCAGCCAATTCCTCTGTGGAAGCCCATTCAGAGAAATGCCACCCTAGATCTGGGCAGACCAACACCCTGGGTTGAAGGTTCTCGTGCCCACTGGGCGTCCTGGTTTGTAACGCTCAGATGCTGGCATAGAGTAAATTGATGAAGAGAGAGGGTGACGTCATAGGGGTCTCTAGCACCTGCCAGCTCAGCTCAGTGCGAACGAGCCGATATCCTGGGTCTGATGGAGTTGCTGGGCTGGGGGGGGATTTCTCCTTATTCTCCTTTTGTAATGTTGGCTTGCGCAGGACTTGGTTTTGCTTCAAGTGGTTGGGCTGTAGAGAGCAGCTTGTAACAGGGTGGCTTGTCCAGTCTGCAGAGCCAGGGGGTAGGCCAGCCCTAATTATGGAATGAGCCCTGCTGAGGGGAGCCAGGCAATTCCCTCTAAAGAGCAGAGGCAGCTGCAGTAAGTGGGGGAAGCTTAGGGAGCTCCAAGGTCCTACGGGGCCGTGTCACCACAGAGCTTGGATGGTCGAGCCCAACGACCAGGGGGCAGGAAACCCGGACTGCATTTGGGACTGGACTCCAGAGGCCCAGCAAGGAAGAGCTAGAGGGAGTGGCGGAGAAATCAGAACGGGGTGGGAGAAAATGCCAGTGCTAAGGCCGCGTCTTTGCTCTGCGGAAGATCGATGCTGCTGCAATCGATCTTCTGGGGTTTGATTTAGCGAGTCTAAGTAAGGCTCACTAAATCGAACTCAGAGGGCACCCTCACCAGCAACCGGTATTCCTGCTCTTTCGAGGAGTAAGGGAAGCCGTGAGGAGCATGTGCTCCCTTCAGCCTCCCGCTGTGGGGACCCCGCCCAGCTCAGTTTAAGGCAAGCTGACTCCAGCTATGTAGAATATGTAGCGGGAGTTGCATACCTTAAGCTGAGCTGCCAGGTCTAGTGTAAACCTGGCTTAAGTCTGGACTTCTCTTTGGGAGTTGCACTGGACTCTGAGCTGTTGTAAAATGGCTCTGGTATTAAACTAGTCCCAGGCAGGGCATTGCTAGCTAGAGAAAGCCTTTGGGAGTTCTTCAAGGGCTCTGAGGTGAGGAAGGCAGACACACACCCCGGCCAGGAGGCTGTGCTCCATAAGCAGTAACCCCATTCCACACGTGTTGGCGTCCGCCCTACAGTCTTGAGGGACTGCACTGGATCCTTCATCCCCTCAGTGAACAGAGAGTAAGAACGAGCTCTGGTTGAGGGGCAGGGAGAGAAATTTCTTCTCGGTGACCTTCTCTGGTGGGAGTTTGGCCCAGGGGCATTTGGCTCCAGGAGCTGTGTCTGAGCCTCGGCTGAAGGGCGTTTCTGAGAAATTGGGGCAATTATTGGGTTGCTCCGTCTTCTAATATTTTTTTTAATGTTTTGAGTGTGGACAGGGACTGCTCTGCCAAAGGATGTTTTGGCATTAAGAATTGCTGGTGATCCTCCCCGGTCCCTGTAGGTCAGGGGACACTCAGAGAACATAACCCCAGTAATGCCCAGAACTCGCCTACATCTCACCAGCTCTTTTGACTGGAGATGGCATTCGAAGGACCTCTCCTGACTCCCTCCCCTCCCGACTGACCATACCTTAAAAAAAATAGCCAAATTGGAGGGGAAAGCGAGGCAGACACAGATCTCCAAAAGCTTGGAGGCGTTAAGGCCCAGGGCTCAGGAATGGAAATTCGTCCCGCTTTTTCACGAACAAAGACACAAATGAGAGACGCCATTTCATTGAGAGGCGAAGCGTAGCTGTGTAGCGACGCCCATCCAGCGCTTAGCATGTCCCCGTTCAGACAGACAGAGCCACTAGATGGCCTGGGTGTGGCTGACACGGTGGGAGAAGGAGCAGTGGGATTCCCGGCCGTTTGGGGTTGGCCAAGCAGCAGCTACCGGCGTGCAGTAAATCCGATACGCATGCAAAATCTGTCCCTTTGGGTGCGTGGGGAAAGCCAGTCTACTGTGTGGGACTCAGTGGCTCCACAGTCTCTGCAGGCCCCCTTGTAAGGGAATCATGAGCATGACTATGGGAACGCTACCCTCCCAGCCAGCACGCGCTCTGGGAGCTGACTGACTATCCTGGCACTAGTTCTGAGTCTTCATATCCAGAGTTCTCTCGATCTCCACTCTTCGTGGCAGTGAAGACCCAGGCGAGCCAATCCGGCAAAAAAACACCGGCTTCCATAATCCGCTGTTCCACCCTCCTGCACCGCTCCCCGTCCGGTATCCCACCGGCATCCCAATCCCAGATGTTCCGCGCTCCAAATTCTGGATCCCCCGGAAGCAAGGCCACCACAGGTACCAATTGCCTTTATATCGTCGCCTTTCTGAACTGCTTAGCGCCCCCTCCTGCCCTGGGTACTAAGCTCCAAAGCCGCTGCCATGGAGGCCGTCCAGAGAGGCGGTCGCGGGGAGGAGCAGAGGTAGTGGCCATGTGCTGATGGTGGTTCAAATCAGCGGTCCTCCAGCTCTTCCCATCCCTAGCTGCGACAGATTTAGCCTTTCAGTGCAAGGGGATTGAAAAGCCTCGTGCTGACCGCAAGGCACCGTAGAGACCCTGGTTCAAATCCTGGAGTTACAAAGTGAGAAGAGCTTCCGGAGCGAGGTTTGTTCAGCGGCAGAGGTAGTGGCCATGTGCTGATGGTGGTTCAAATCAGCGGTCCTCCAGCTCTTCCCATCCCTAGCTGCGACAGATTTAGCCTTTCAGTGCAAGGGGATTGAAAAGCCTCGTGCTGACCGCAAGGCACCGTAGAGACCCTGGTTCAAATCCTGGAGTTACAAAGTGAGAAGAGCTTCCGGAGCGAGGTTTGTTCAGCGGGTCGTCAGGTTAGTTAGCCTCAGGGCATTGCTTTTTGGGCTTGCCCCTTAGCTGGAGGAGGGCAGAGTCGTACGCTGCACGCACTTTCTCACCGTGCTTCCTCCACCCAGGGGCTCCAGCAGCAGGCTGAGCAGAATAGTTGCATTGTGGACACTCAGGAAGAATCAGGCTGGATTATCTGTCCCCTCCTTTCCTGCCCCCTGTTTGAATGGGAAATGAAAACCGCTGGGATTTTATTTTTTTCAAAGAGGCCCGAGATGTAGGGTTCACGTTTCCATACGATAGTGAGACGTTGGCTTCGGTCTCTGGAACGGGTAGTTGTCTGATAACTGGCCATCTACACTGTAGTACTGGGGATGGCTAGTTAACCAGCCTCTTCACTCTGGGTTAGGCAAATGTCTGTTTAACTCACCCCTGAAAGGTCTGGCCTGGGCAGATGCCTGGAATGTGCAGGTGGGGGTGGGGAGAGAGACCTCTGCTTTCCTGCCTTCAAACAGGGCCAGTGCTTAAGTCATTTTTCTGAGGTGACACATGCATCAGCTCCTACCTCAAAACTACAGGTGACCCCGTCTTCTGACAGCAGCCGTCACTTACGATCCTGCCGGTCCGTATTGTTACTGCAGTCCCTGTTCGTTTCTTTGATTTTGTTCCCTTCGTTTCATCTAGCGTAGGAGTCCAAGTGGAGACTTTTTGTTCTTTGTTAACTTGTGACAGCTTCGTCCAGTTTCCATGTTTATTATATATGTGAAAACAGCCTCATTAGGGGCTTTTGTGGTCAAAGGCCAGACTCATCCGGGCAATCACTGGGCAATATATTTTGGAAAGGGATTTTCCCCTTTTCTAGTCAAAAAATGTGTCAGGGAATTGGATAAACAGAATAACTCCCCCTCCCCTTCCCTCTCTCTTGAGACGTAGCATGAAGCCTGAGCCTTGCAGATTGAGCTTGGAAAAAATAATTTAAAACTAAGGGTTTACCTTGTCCATTTGGCTGCTTCAGTGGAATGGCACATGGGTGTATTTCCAGCCATCTTGTCCTAAGAGAATTTTAGCAGCTGCTGAGATTCCTAGCACAAGTACATTGGCCAAAAACTCTGTCCAGGCAGAGCAGCTCCCAAAGCAACGCCTCTTTAATGCCCCATTTAACCCAAGACCTTCCCTCTGGGTCCGGATGGGACCCAGAAAATGGTGGGAACCAATATGATCCTGGCAGACCCTCCAAAAGGGTGGGATTTTCCACAGGCACCCACCCACGGGACCAGTGTAGTTTCCTGAGGTTGACTTCAGGTTCAAGGTTTGGCTGACGTTTTGCTTTGGATGCAAGAGATTTCACTGTGGAGATTCAGGTCTCACGTGGGAAGTGGAGAGAAGCCCAAAGAGTCCAAGGAGAAATATTGGACCTTTGTTTCTCTTGTCTGTCTGGCAAAACATAGAAAAGAGAGAAAAACCAAAACCCTGGAACTATTTTTTTCCATACATGTCCAGAGGCCTCCAGTTCATTTTCACTTGTGACAAAAGCCAGGATTTGAACCTGGGTAACTACAGGTAAAGGTTACCCCATAGTGTCCTACAGTCCCTTCGTCCCACTCTGCCAGCCGGCAAAGCCCTGGCGTTCCTACCGGTTGTGTCTGGACTGCTGGAGTTCAACGACTAGGCTTAGTAATCGTGACTCAGCTGCTGAGCAGATTACTGGAGTTCAATGACTAGGCTTAGTAATCGTGACTCAGCTGCTGAGCAGATTAGAAAGCAGCCTTGTCCCGCTCTCCCTTGTTTCAAAATATCGGTATTGGGGCTGCCCACCAATTCCGCCTTGTAACCTCAGAGCCAGTCAGTAGCCGCCTGTCTCCAGTGTGAATTGACTGGCCCGTATGACTGGACCAGCAGCCTCATACAATATGGCTCTCCTGTGGCCGGAATCAAAGAGAAGGTCCTTCGCCCCGGCTCAGCAAAAGAACGCGATGGTGCTTTGGCCAGGCACAGTCGGTTTATGATCCCCCCCCTTTTCCCCCAGTGGGTTAATTCTCAACATTCTCAGGGTCTGATACCACTATTAAAGGGAATGGTTCGACCCTGTCACCTCTGACATCAGGTCTCTTTCCTCGCTTCACCCTGCAACTTCTCTGACCACAAAATCCATTTCTGCCCCCTGAAGAAAATACAGCAGAGCCTCGCTACTTCGCCTGGGCCCCTTGAGAGCTGCCAAGTCGGTGCACAAGGAAACACAAGGATAAAAGCAAGAACAGCATCCAGGCCGTTTGATTTTGGCAGCTTTAACTATTTCTGATTGATCCTTCCTATGGAGGGCAGTGCATTTCTTGCCAACCCAGTGTGAAAACGTAGCCGTACGGATGAGATGAGACTTCACTTGAACCCGTGCTCCGGGACTGCCGGTTATGGGATGAATTAGCCAGGTTCTGCTGTACATTAAGGCTCCAGGGTGCTGCAGGGCTATTGACCTTGCTGTAGGATTGTCACATGCGTTTAGAGCTAGCTCTCCTCCTACAGTGTGTGCTGAATTCCTTTGGGGATTGCCACCGGAGGTTTTGGTCACATGTCCAGAGTAGGTGACAGGCTGGGGATGCCCCTGCATGCTGGCAGAGCAGGGCAGGAGATCAGAGCCTGGGTCTATGGGGGTAGAAGGAACTTGCTCACTTTATGGACGCAGAGGGAAGGGACCCCTTGTGTTGTCTCTAGTTACCCCCAAAGCTGGTCTCGTGACTCATTCCTGATGGGCTTCCCAAGAATCTTTCAGTCCTCAGGTGTAGATGGTCGGGGAGAATCTGCAGAATCAAATGCTAGTTATTCAAAAAAGAGAGCAGGCTTGATGGTTGAGTCTCTACGCCCTGGGAAGGACCTCTGTTCATCCCCAGGCCTGGCCGCCTGCCCGGCAGGCCGTGAGGGCAACTCATTCCCTTGAGAGGGGAAAGATGAAAGGGAACGCCTCACACCGCTCTACTCCGACCCCTTTGGGCCAGCCAGGAATGGCGCTTGTAGGCTCCGTAGGAGTTCCATCCAGGCCTCCTCTGCCAGAAGGCAATGTGCAGAATACCTGCCTGTTCCCCCTGGGTGAACGTGGCCCGTTGCCTCCGAGATGCGGGACCCGACCATTCTGCTCTGTTCAGGGTCTCAGGTTGCATGGCACACGGGCATGACATCTGCCTCCCCTCTCAGCAACCCTGGATCCAGGATGGATCACTCACCATCCCCCTTTGTTCTCCACCCAGCAGAGAGCGCCTTCAGTAGGAGAGTGGAAAGCAAAGCGCAAAACAACTTTGAAGAAACCAACAGCAGCTCCCAGAACTCTAGTGGTAAGTATCCCCTCCCCCTTTCCAGTCTCCAGGGCCAGGCAGAAGTTGACTTAAACTGGGATCAAATGATCTATTTAGCAGCCGCCGTCTGTAAAGTTTGCCATTGCTCAGTGTTTTCCTTGGCATCACCCCAAGGTTTGTGCCATCCCATAGCCTGTTTGAATTGCGGTACATAGGTCCCCGGCTCAGATTCCTTTTGAAATGGAGACAGACGTCCCGATCGCAGGATCATATTGTTGCTAGGGGGAGCCTGAGGTAAAGTAGGCCTAGCTGTTTGTGGGAATACAGGTCACGTGTTGGTGAAGCCAAGCCGTTTTTCACACAGCAGCTCTCCTTGGAGGGGTCGGGTATAAATATGTTATTGGTAACCGTTGTACCAGGAGCCTGTCTCAGAGCTCATTGGATCAGATATAACGCATCAACTGACAAATGGATGAGCATGTTGCAGTCCGCCCTTACACTTGGGGGACTCAGTTGTATCCCCCGTCCCCTTCCTGGGGCTTCCTTTGGTTAGGAACTGAAAACAGCAGCAGCAAAGCCTACCCCTCAGCCTAGACAGTCACCCCTAGTGGGGCTGTTCGTAGCATTTTTCCTGCAGCAACTTCTGTATCTCCCCACCTGGGAGTTCGCTCGGCCTCAGAGTGATCCTCCTGCCCTGAGATTGGCGCTAAAGGACACCTGGTGTAACTTGAGAGACTCATCATAAATATCTCAGCACGGCCGATTCTCAGCCCTGCCACGTGTCAGACTCTTCTGTTGGGCTGTCGTGCGGTCGGGTCATTGAAGCTTGCCTAGAAGAGCTGTTTCAGGATAAGAGAAGCTTCCTTCACAATTCTACTAACTGGACTTGAATGGCTAAGGGCTCGCAACCGTCTTGCTGCAGGGATAAGCCACCCGTTGCCTGCCGGGGCTTTCCTCTTCCCCCGGTGCCGCGGGTACAGCTCTCTGGGGCGGTGGCGGGAAGGGGTAGGGAACGATGTGGGAAATTCCACAAGCACCCATGCAGAGGGAGAGAGCTAGACGTTACTGACGTCAGGCCCAGCAATGGGGGGGACGAAAGGGGACAGCTGCCCCAGGGCCCGGAGATTCCAAGGGCCTGGCGCTCCCGACCTGCCGCTGCCACAGTAGCAGGGGCCAGAGCCCCCGGGCCCAGCGACTCGGGACGGGGCGGGTGGTGGGGGGAGAAGGAGATCCGGGCAGTGCTACGGACCACCCGAGAGAGGGGGACACACAGGGGCAAACTGCTGCAGCTCCTCCTGGGGGCCCGAGGTTGCACTGCCCTGCTGGCTCCTCCTGCAATGTCCAGCCCTCCCCCACTCCCATCCTGGCTGACGGCGCCAGGTGGGGAGGGACGATCCGGTGGCTCCTTGGGGAGACGGGGCTGGGTTTTGGGGCTCGTGGGGAGGGGCAGGGTGCTGTTCAGAAGTCGTTCTTGAACAAACGGACTCGCGGGCAGACGGACGCACGTTTCTAAAGTATATAGCGAGACAGACAACCCTCCAATCCTCCTCCTCCAGTTGGGCAGCAGCTCCCACAGGTGCCTAGGCAGAGTCCTGGCCCCTCTTCATGTGACTGGTGTCTCATCGCCTTGACCAGCCACGCCAGGCAGGGAGGAATGACAGGGAAGTCCTTCGGTCCATATGAAGCGGCGTGGCACGCCGCAGTTCTGTGACGCAGCCCCTTCCTACCTGAGATCCACTGCCCTTATTGGATCTCCAGCCATTAGCCTAAAAGCATGTCACTGGGATTTCAAACAGTGCGCTGTGGCATTTAGAAAGCCAATGGGATTTGGGTGCCTAACTCCTGTAGAAGCCCCAGCCAGGGCGTATCACTCTGTAATGGTTGGGAGCCCCCGAGAGCCTGCTCAGTTCTGGGAGCAGGACTCTAAGTTCTCTTTCCTCCTGTGCATCATCCCCAGAGCTGTTCTCTCCAGTCAGGCTACGTCTACACTACGAGTTTTCTCGGCAAATGAGGGAATCTCATTTGCATATTTTCTGCCGATCTCTTTTTGCGCAAAAACAAGTTGTGTGGATATTTTCTTTTTGCGCAAAGCCCCCTTTTTCCGCAAGATCCTTATGCCCCCAAAAAGGAAGTCTACCGATCTTGCGGGAAAAGGGGTTTTTGCGCAAAAAGAAAACATCCACACGGCTTGGTTTTGCACAAAAACCCCTAGCGCAAAAACAGATCAGCAGAAAATAGGCAAATGAGATTGACTCATGCAAATGAGTCCCTCATTAGCATATTTTTGCCAAGAAAACTCGTAGTGTAGATGTAGCCTCAGTGAAAGACCAGTGCGTTACACCTGCACAAACTCCTGACAGGTGTGCACACGAGGCCAAATCAAAGCTAGTGGGCTGGGCAAACTTCTACTGCTGGTGAATCCACAAGAAAAGGGCCCTACTTATCTTTTAGATCAAGGGGGGTTTGTAGAGCTGGCAGTCAGACAAAAGTTATTTCTAAAACGAGTATATTTTATGTCTAGGCTTAGAAAACTATGCAGCCTTGCCATACCTGTTTTATAGTCACTTTTCACATGATCCCGTAACATAAGAACTAAGCATCACCAAATGAAATTAATAGGCAGCAGGTTTAAAATAAAAGGGATTTTTTCTTCATGCAGCATACAGTCAACCTGTGGAACTCCTTGCCAGGGGATGTTGTGAAGGCCAGGACTTTAACAGGGTTCAAAAAAGAGCTAGATAAATTCATGGAGGATAGGTCTGTCAATCCTTATTAGCCAGCATGGGCAGGAATGGTGTCCCTAGTCTGTTTGTCTGAAGCTGGGAATGGATGATGGGTTAGATCACTTAACGATTCCCTGTTCTGTCCATTCCTTCTGGGGGCACCTGACATTGGCCACTGTCGGAAGACAGGACACGGGGCTGGGTGGACCTTTGGTTTGACCCAGTCTGGCCGTTCTTCGAACTCTAAAGACTCTGTCACTAGATACAGGAGAGTCATGTTGTAATGCTCCTGGGTTACGAACCTGTTCTATTGGCTTAGTTGTCAGGAGGAGAAATGAATGAGGAAATGAGAAATCAGCAGAGCCGAAAACACAAACCGTGAGAAAAGGGGTGACTCTTGGGGGTACCGTTAGGAAAGTCTGTTCTGCCAAAAATGCTTTAAATACAGATACATCCAGCTCCTCACACCAAATCAAAACAGTCTCCTGGCTCTGTTGAGCCCACTTGTGTCTGCAGCGCATTGCCAGGAACACCTCGGGGGAGCTCAGGATGCCCTGTGCAAAAATCTTTTCTCTGAGCCTGAGTTTTCCATGGTTTGTGCCTCTCCTGTCATCACGACAAGCCCTGCCGCTATGTTTGTTTTATTGTCGTCACCTCTGTCAGGCAGGCTGCAGGGAGAGGGTCAGTGGCTAGCCCAGGCTACTGCTTAGCCCGTGAGAATTGACTGACACCAGTGAGCCATTCCAGGCCAGCTCTCAGTGGGTCGGTGCCTGAGGGTGGAGAAGAGGAGGGAAGGGGGGCTCCTTCTGAGATGACAGCAGGAAATCCAGGCAGCGTGTGCCTTTCAGAAGCCAGCTACTGCACCGTCGGTACCGGCCGTGGTCCTCTCTGGGGCACAGGCCATCACGCAGGTCACTGAGTAAAAGTAATGAAATGGCACCCTGCGACTATGTCTTGCCTCGCCCCCTCCCCCTTTCCTTCTCTGTGTCTCCTCTTCTCTTTCGTCTCTCCCAGTTCCATTCTTTTTCTTTGCTCCCCACGCTTGGCGCCCTTACGTGCCATTTCCCATCCTGCCCTCCTCTTTGGCTCTTGCATCCAGCCACCTTTTTGTTCCATTCCCTGATACTCCCTATGACAGGGCGGACCAAGCCCCAAGGCCCCTGCTGGAGGCTTGTGGCCTTGCTACACCCCGCCAAGCAAACCATAGAGAAGTCCTCCAGGAAGGCTAGAGTGGCACAAAGGACACGACCAATCAGGGCCCGGCAAGCCTGTTAAAAGGAAGCCGTTGGCTCAGAGTGAGGCAGTTCCTCCTTGGAGAGCTGAGCTGCAGGAGGGCAGCCACAGCAAAGAGTGCAGGCACAGGCCCTTGGCCACACAGTGCCCCTCGCGTGTGGCAAAAGTGCCTCTGCAAGCAAGACTGTGACCTGTACAGTGACTGACCCCGAAGGCCGGACGGGCCACGTGGATACCTAGCTAGGTAGCCAGATGCTCTGTGCAGACCTGGTGTGTTAGCAGTTGCTGTGCCTTGTGCTGTCTCTGGCCTGCCTTCCGTTGCTTCTTCCTTCAGTGTGGTGTTAAAATTGTGGGAGAAACGTCGTTAGTGTCTCGCGCGCCTCCTGTGAGTCAGTGTTACAGTAACAGGCACCGTCTCTGGTTAGAGCTCCCGATGCAGCTGTTCCCACCGGCACTGGCCATTAAAGGCACGAGCCCAGCAGCCAGGCAAAGGCTGCGGGTGGGAGGGAGAGAAGTGGTACCCGGAGATGTGCCGTGGTGGGTGAGGGAGAATCAGGATGTGACATGCAAGCAGTGGCAATGGGGGGTCAGGAATTGAGCTTTGCAAGCCCAGGCAACATGCCAGTCTCTCTGTTCTGAGGCTGCCAGCTTCAAACCTGCTCCGCATTTAGATTTTTGTTGAAACCAAACTGTGTCCGTGGCACTTTTACCTTTTACCGTCTGGTTCCATGGAAACAGCAAAACCCTCTGGAGTCCACGCAGCCTACACTGAGACCCTGGAATGGCCTAGATCTTGCTGGCTTTCCTTCTGCGAGCTGAGAGAGGCAGAAAAGAATCAAATGGGAGTCACTCCCTGTTGGTTGTTTACAGAGCTAAGGCTCCACCCCGGCTAGAAGGGCCTTCCTGACCTGTATCGTTCCGTCATTTCAAAAATGTTTTACATCCTCAAAACTTTCCCCAACATTGTTGGTGGATCGGCCTCCTGTAACCAGAAATGTCAGCTGTGTGAGGTCACTTGGGCCTGTGAGGAGAAGAGAGGGAGGAAGAGAGCAACAGGAAGGCAACCACATGTGCATTTAGCCTGTGTTTGATAGCATGCGCACACACACACACACGTACGCGCACGCACACCGAAGAGGAGGCAGCATTGCCCAGTGGGTAGGGTTCTAAGCTAGGACTCGTAAGTTCCCGGGTCACCTCTGACTTGTTGTGTGACCTTGGACAAGCCATTTCCCCTTTTTGGCTTTCCTATTTCTTTTCCCATTCTTTTTGTTGTCTAATTAGATAAGGTCTTTGGGAAATCACTCAGTAACATCAGCAGCTCGGATGGGCATGGAAGAAGTCCAGGATGTATCTCCCCTGTGCCACGTCTATAGAGAAAACCAAGATTCTCTACTTGGTCCTGACCCCCTAAGATACCCGACTCTGTTGTCCAGCCAGGTGGGAGAGCCATGCCCCAGCATAGTGGCATCAGCAGCTGTCTAGAGAGACTAGAAGCAGCTGATTGCTTTGGGGTTGCTGTCAGCATGACCAGGCTCCATGGGGACCCCGAGTGGATGGATGCTCTGGCTGTTCTGGTTTCCCACGTAGCTAGCTGTGCTGGGCCTGGTGGTTGCGTGATGCTGTGTCACAGGAGCATGGTAGGGATTATACTGGCTACGTGTACAAACGGGTGTTTTGCCATCAGAACATGCTCCCCAGGGACATGGTAGCTTCTCCGTCTCTCCCTCTCTTCGAGACCAGATGCCTTTCTGAAAGGCGCTTTAGTCAGACTCAAGCTATTGGGCTCGGTACAGGGTAACTGGGTGAAAATGCAGGCCCTGTGTCATACAGGGGGCAGAAGAGAGGAGCTAACTGTCCTCTCACTCGGCGATTCGGTGAAAAGGGAGGTGTGTCCAAGGAGCGGCCCCTACTCTTGTTGCAGACTGTGGCATACCAGAGACCCAGCACGTATAGCCAGAGGCCATGCTGTGGGGCTAGGGGGTGGGGAGGACTGTTCGGCAGGCAGCGTGTGTGGCCCTGGGAGCATGGGAGCGTAAGGCCAAGTAGAATGATGTTGGGTTTTGCTTCTTTGCTCTACTGTCCCGGGCCTGGCTAGCTGCTGAGCGGCGTGGAAAGCCCTACAAAGGTTTTACTGACAGGGCTGGCTTTACCGTGAGGCAAACAGGTGGCCACCTCAGGCGCCAGACTGTGGGTCGGGGGGGGGCACTAGTTCACACTTTTTGAACAAGGCATATTAAGTTGTTAGTTCTCCTTTATTGGGGTAGGCAGCAGAGCAGTACCACGAGAGGAGTAGAGCAGGAAGAAGGCAGAATTGAGACCTTTCCAAGTTTGGGCCCAAGCGACGGGGGAGGGGGGCGCCATTTGAGCTCCCTGCCTCAGGTGCCAAAATATTGTGGGCCAGCCCTGCCCTTAGGACAATGTTTCTGAAAGAGGGGGCCTGGTGAGGGTCAGGATAGGTTGCCTGTCATTTCCAGGGGGGCCTGCGGGCCCCAGAAGCTCTCCCCCTCCTACGTTCCCACTTCACTGGCTGGGGCAGTGTAGGAAGCAGTGTCCAGGCAGCAGACACAGGAAGGAAGGAGCTGGAGCCAGCGAGCGGGCAGCTCCCTGGAAGCAGGCGAGGGGCTAGCGGGGATTGCAAGGCTGGGAGAGCTAAAGCAATGGGGTGGGGAGAGGTTGCTTAATACAAAATCAATATCAATGTTGCCCATTTACAGGAATTTGTGTATAAAATGCCCGTTTCTGGGTTTGCACTGGCTCTGGCCACGTGGTCTAGGCCTGTGGCTGTCTCGCCAGCGTTCTTACAAAACATCCATGAACATTTCCAAATCCGAATTCCTCAGACTTCGAAAGAACCACACCCTCCATCCGGGGGTGCCTGCCGAGACAAAAGACAGGGCTGTACGTGTAACCCTTTGCTCTGGTTCTGGCGGTACGGGACAGGGGCAGAAAGAAAGGAACCGAATGGAGGGGCTAGACCCGTGGAGGATGCACCAAGGTCTCTGTCGGTCTCAACGTTTCAATTTCTTTCTTTTTTGCAGAAACCGCAAGTCCCCTGATTTCAAATCCTTTCCCGCTTTTACAAAGTAAGTGTGTGGAGGTGTGTGGTGCACACCGCCTTCCTGCTTGTCCTCTTAGTTTTTTCATGAATGGCTGTTTTTTGTGACTGTGCCAAAACAGAGAAAGCATCTCACCTCTGTGGCTCTTCAGGGTTTAAACGAGATCGGCCCGAACCCAGGGCGCTAAGGGGACAGCCTATGCTGTGGGTGGCTGCCAACCTTCGAACATCAGGTTTTAGCGAATGGGCCCCAAACACATGTTCTAATGGACCCGAAATGAAGCCGTCCCTGAGGTGCGTGTATAGACAGGAACATGTCCCTCGCTGGCTCCGCACATGGGGGTCACTTCCCAGAAACAGTCCCCTTTGATCTGAAACCAATACGAGAAATGTCAGCCAAAGACGGGTCTGGCAAGATGAGGGAAAGGGCGGCCGGCTTCGGTTGGATGCATTCCTGGGGATTTCATCCCATGACATAATCTTGAATTCTTGGAGTCTCCAGGCCAATCCTGGAAAATGCCCTAATAATGGCTTTGATCTGGATTGGCTGGGCCAACCTCTGTTTGAAGGTTCTGCAGCTGTCACTCACCTTCTGCAGGAGATGAGACGCTAACAAGCGTCCCTGGGTTTTTAACAGAGTGCTGATTACATGGGGCAAGTTTTATCTTTTTGTTTTTGTTCTTGTTGCTTGGCTTATTGGTGTGTTTCAGTGGGGTTACCTGCTCTGCAGGGCTCCCGTTCCTGGGTCTTTAGTCCCTTTACATGAGACAGATGTAAAGTGTCGCGGTGCTTCTAGGCAGTGGTTTTACCCTGGAGGGCGGCAGCAGCAGGAGAGAATATTTGCTCTCTTTGTTCTTTTAGGAACTTTAAAAAAAAAGGGTTTTCCATTGGTCAGTTTTATGTATATCTCAAAAAATCAAATTCACTCTGAACTAGATTAGACAATTGTCATGCGCTTGAGGTGATCGTCTGGAAACTCGTGTCGGCATAAAATCTTCTGCCAACGGCACATTAATACTGCGGTTCCAGAATCTGCAGCTTGCTTCCCATTAGGTACCAGGTGGAGTCCAGGGGGTTTATTTTGTCCTACAAAGGCCTTGATGCCTAAGACAAGGCAGGAGAGGTTCAGGGGACCATCTTGAAAGTACGAGCTGTAGGACTACAGCCAGTCGTTCTCAAACTGTGGTTTGGGACCCCAAAGTGGGTGCTGGCCCGCTTGCCAGGGCTGGCGTTAGACTTGCCGGGAATGAAGCCGGAGTCCCTCAGCCCAGAATTAAAGCGAACGCCTGAGGGACTCTCCTCAAGAACGAAGCCCAAATCCCTCCCCCCAGGATGACAGGGCTCAGGTTATAAGCCCCCTTACCTGGGACTAACACCCTTGGGCTTTAGCAGCAGCTCCCCATCCCGGGTGCAGGGGGTTGGGCCGGGCTCAGGATTTGGAGGAGGGATGTAATAGTGTAGTCGATTAACCGATTAGCAAACGCTTATAGGTTAATGCTAGAGACCACATCCATTTCCCTCTTCTGCTTTGCCAGTAAATTTTTTAGCAGGCTGTCCAGCAACCTGGCTCAGTCCTGGCTTGTGATGGATTTGGGAGCTCAGACCACCACCCCCTTCCCCTGCCAACAGGGGGTGCTGCAGCACAGAGCAACAGGCAGCTGGTCCGCGAGAGGAGTTGTTTTTAAACTCGTGGCAGAGGGCTCCTCAGGAGTGAAGCCGGAGCGCACTGGCTGTTGGCCCCGCCCCCAGGAGCTATAGAATAGTCGAGTAACCGATAAGAATTCACGAGGTTCCTCGACTATTCAGTTAGCCGATATTTAACATTCCTACTTTGGAGCCTTCTCCTGAGGTGCTGTCGGGTTTTTTGTGGTCAGAAAGGGTCCGTTTTGCAAAGACGGAGGAGAACTGCTGAACTACACAGCGTCCTTCTGCAGGTCTGGGGACGGCGGGAGCATGCCTGGGCTCACGGATGGCGGAGGTGGTCACTTGCAACGAAATGGCCAATTGGGGGTTAGATTGTTATGCATAGAGAGTCTGTAGTGAGCGTTTAATGATAGCAGTGGAGTGTTATTAATTGTCGTAACAATCCATAAAACCAACATCCCTGTCAAGTCCATGGTTTCAGTGGTTAGCAGAGTTACGAATTTCTGTTTCCAGGCTTGCCTTAGGAAGATGCTACGCCCTTGGGGACGAGTACTGGAAGATCAGACTAGAAGCGATCGCTTTGTAGAGGTGCTTGCTTCTGGGTTGCAGGGTGTTTTTTCTTCCATCATTTTTCTGAGAGTTCATTCAAAAGTGTAGAGATTATCTGGTTCCACCTACTTAGTTATTGCGGGGGAATCAGATGCACTGGCTAAAGATACAGTGACATGGATGAGGCCTTCATTACCTTTTGGAGTGTCCTTTGAAACTCATATTTTTATTCAGCCCTTGGAAGAAGGTAGGGCCACACAAGGAGGGGGAGTTTGGGTTGTAGAAAAGTTCCATTTATCTTGCCGTGTTGCAGGTGCGGTTTTCCAGGAGTTGCTGTTGGTTTTAATTGTATTGTTTATGCAAACAATGGTAAGCGTGTACGGAATAATAGATTGATGCCCTTCTTATCGGGCTACCAATCAACCAGTACGTTATTTACGATTGGAAATAGTGGAAAATTTGAAGAAAAAAAAAAAGTATGTGAATATTTTTGCAGCAGTTTCTTGTATTGCTGTTGGTAAGATTTTAGCAAAAAATGTTGACATTTTCCATGACACATCCTCAGCTCTGCCTCACCTTTGGTGGGACAGACCCCAAACTAAGTTGGACCGTTTTCTCTGGCTTCCTTGTGGGGCTGGGTTATTTGATTTGGATTCTGGTTTTGTTGGGGTTGGCTGATGTGATCAGTTTGTTGTCGAGTTTTGGATTTTTGTCCTCGGATCTGGTATATTTAAAATACCAATAAAAATGCCTACAGCTGCTAGGGAATGATACCTTAATGAAAACCAAGCAAGTGCTTGTGAATATAGACTTGGCGACCTACCCAGAGAAGTTAGAAGAATGGAGTAGTCTCTGCTCCTGGAGGTTCCTACAGAGGATTCACGTCACAGAAAACTTGCCCAAGCACTCTGGCAAGCCAGAAAGCCCCCTCTCTGCCCTCTCCTCACCTGCAGAGATGGTCCCAGAGGGAGTTAGCGGAGGAGAGAGCGAGCGGCTGGCAGGCCAGGAGAAAGGCAGGAGCCTTGTAGCTGCTGCTGCTCAAGAGAGAAGCCCAGGCATGCGGGGAGAAGGGAAAGTGGAGGAGAGAGACGGGGAAGTGGATGGGGCAAGCTAGACCACTGCTGGGCGGGGTGGAGTAACTGTCAGATTTGGGGAAGGGATTGTGGAGTGAGACGGCTGCCTTGGACCGATGTGCAAAGGCCACATGTCTGTTGCATCGACTTTGTCCTGTGCCCATGTAGGGACCACATTTGCCATCTCAGGAGTCTTTTTCTTGCGCTGAGAATGTTCTCTTGACCAGGACTTTGCAAGTTGCAGCAGCCCCCTGAGACAAGGTGCCTGTAACACTAACAGTACCGTTAGAACCGCGCGCGGGCCAGCCATCTGCCTGTCCGGGTCACAAGCAGCCCAAGGCTCCGACCCCATCCCCAGCTCGACAGCTGCAAAATTCCCTGGCTGCAGAAGTGGGTGAGGCTCAGCTCCACGAGATCCGGGAGCGAGATTTGAAGAGTGGGAGTTGTGAAGCACAAAGGGAGTTGTGCTTTCTGTGACCAGCACCAAGCCTGCCGCTTAGGGGCTTCCCGCGCGGCAGCATGTGAGCCGGACAGCATCGTGGATCTGCTTGTAGCCAGGATCGCTGGCCTCCTTCCCCCTGCAGTGGGTGTGAGAGAGACGTGGTGTTTTTCTTCAATCACTGAACAGAATTAGCCTCCATTGAGTCATTCCCCTGGCTTGTTCTACCCCTTGGAGAGCACACGCCCCTCATACACCCTTGCCTAGCTATCTGCTCAGGCTGGGCACTTCAGCAAGGTTTGGCCCTTAGAGCTGTATTGTGCACAGACAGCTGGGTGGGCGAGTGGGATCCACCCACTAGTACAGTGGAGCAATTAGCGATTTATGACACCAGGCATCGTGCTACTGGCTGACTCTGGTCATGGGTGAGTAGGATTCGGGTTGTTGAGTTTTCGACGCTCATTCTTCAGAGCGGTGAAGCTGCGTCTTCTACACTACACGGCAGCATTTCACCCCCCTGCAGGAGTCGGGTCCGTTTCTGCGCCTCGTGCACACAGGTACAGTCTTCCTTAGATTTTTGCAAGCCAGAATTTTATGTTGTTGGTTGATCAGGAGAGACAGCCTGCCCGGTCTCTCTGCTTGTCTGGAATGCGCTGGTTCAGTGCAGATGAATTAGAAAGACCTGACCTTTTTACGGGGCCAGAATTTAGAGTCCTACAGTCCTTCAAAACACAATCGGTCTCATTGTCTCCACTTGGCCTGAACTCGGCAACCAGAGAAAGAACAAAATAGAGAGTCAGTTCCTGACAGGGTTGTGTTGCCCTGTGGCAATTCATAATCCAGTGATAGCTGGGATTGTGTAGCATCATGGATCCCATTTCATAGCAAGCAATTGGGCTAATATTCAGCCGTGTCTGTCTTTGGGGCCTACAAGGCCTCTGATTTTAGCTTTAGACAAAATCAAAGTTTCATTTTAAGAGCTGTAAGTGGCTGGGATGATTTGAATGTGGAAGCAGCTTTCTGGGGCAGGGCGTTTGTTGCAGTAACGTTTCCCGAAGAGCCGCCGGACGTTCTTTCAGTTTCACTCTCCCTGCCTCCCATTCTCACCTGTGGAAGATGAGCAAGGGGGATGATCCCTTTAGGACTAATGCAGGTCGCTTCCTGACCATCAGCTGGGGAAGAGGGGCTCAGGGTGCAGGCTGCCCTGGGGAGAGAGGACAGCCCCAGCCCTCTCTCTGCAGCAGCTTGGGGCCAGGTGAGAAGCACCTCTCCATGGCTGCTGTAGCTCCAGCGGGAGGAGGGGTGCATCTCCCCCAGCTGGGGCAGGTCCAAGTTACTCTGCCCCTGCGCTCCCCAGCCAGAGTGAGGGATGCAGCAAACTGTGCACTTTCCCCTCGCTCCCTGAGGAAGGGGAACAGCCAGGAAGTTGGGGCAGTCCCAAACAGGGTGGGGCAGAGGCAGCGCCCCCAGCCTCCTTTCGTCTGCCGATGATCTCGTCTTTTTTCTGCATGGTTTTTTGGCAATCCCAAGCCGGGGGGCGAGGGGGTGAGACTCGAGCCACCACCCCCAACCTTAAGTTATGATCAGAGGAAGCTGCCACCGCATGTGGTCATCCTAGCTCCTGCCAGTTAGGAGAAGTTCTGTCGAGTCGTTCCCCGTACGACCCAGGGAACACGTAACAGGTTCTGTTGCAGAGCGGAGCAGCAGCGTTCCAGCTTTGGAAACGTGACAGTAACTTTTTAAGGGTGAAGAAAACATTTGAAACGTGACTCGTGTAAATGAAGGCGGCGCTGCCTTCCTGCGTCTGCCAGCAGCCAGAGCCACATTGTGAGCCCTGGGAACTGCCCCACTCACGTTCATCGTTCACACATTTCTGTTGGCTTGTCCACTGCTGATCGCGTCACTGGAAACACCCAGCATTCTCCATCAGCTTCTCCTTCCCAGCAAGTGCCCAAGCACCTACATGCATTGTATTCAGTGGCCAACACCTCCCGCTCTCCCCTCCCATCTCTTTCGATGTCGTGAGCGCATTTCCAAATGTCCGCACCATCCTAAAAGTGTGGCAGAGGCATCAAATAAATGCAGGAAGGAAGTCACGTTAAGTCAGGTGCTGAGTTGAACTGGAACAGCCTCAGTATTCTCGTTTCCACTAGACAGATGCTTATGCACCTTCTACCTGTTGTGTCTGCGGGAGGTTCCCTGCAATGTGTTTAATCCCTGCAGTTGTTTTCTGATGCCTCAGTTTCCTAGGTTTCTGGGAAGGGGGGGGGGCTTGTCAATTTTCCTGCTCCCACCTTGTACAGTTCTGTTGGTGACTTTCTGAGAGGGATGACAGCAGGGGTTGTAACCAAGTTAGCTGTCCATGGAAAGTGAGAGTTTGGGACCTTTTGAGATGCTAAGTCTGTGGTTCTCAACTGTGGTCCATGGTGACTTTTTCGGTGGTCCACAAGAACACTGTCCAAAGTCACACAGCGTGAGCAGGTGCCGCCATTAGGCTGTTTTACGCCGTGTTCACAAGCACATGGCGCATCTTCCATAGCATCATGTAGGACGCAATCGCATTGTGTTGCCGGTAACTTCCGTCTGAAACTCTGAGCGTCAGTGTAGCTGCCGTCGTCGTGCTGAGCGGTTGCTGTGTCGTTCGTCCTGTGCTACATGTGCTGGAGGTGGCCCACAAAAATGTTTTGATTGGCCTGGTGGTCCGTGGACTGAAACGAGTTGAGAACCACTGTGCTAAGTGATCCCTTTGTCCATATGCAGTCTACAGTGGCATTTCTCAGTTCTAGAACGTGTAACATCACGTTTGGTCCCCGCTAGTGCAGGGAAACATCTTGGCGTATTTTAGCACTATTACGCTTTGTGCCTGAGGGAGGTCGCAAGAGTCTTTTAGACACAGAAGATATGTCATGCTGTATTGCAGCTAGTGTGGGAACAGCGCCGGCGAACAGCACAAACGTGCTGGCATCTCTGAAGGGACAGAGCGGCATCACTACTTGGCAAGACATAGTGGGTAGATAACGCATCCCATGATGACGCACAGTGACTTATAGTGGTATGAAAACGAAGCAACTAAAATCAGCTCCTTGCAAAATTAAGTTTTCAGTTTACTTGTCGGATTAGAAATAAACTAGCATTTAGCATCAGTGTCCCATGTCGGAGTTCCGTATACACATTCAAATGGCTCAAGATAGTTAAGACCAAAGCAAATTGTGAAGAGCTTCAAAAAGATCTCCCCAAACTAAGTCATCGAGCAACAAAATGGCAAATGAAATTTAATGTTGACAAATGTAAAGTAATGCACATTGGGAAAAATAATCCCAACTATACACACAATATGATGGGGACATAATTTAGCTACAACTACTCAAGAGAGATCTTGGAGTCATTGTGGATAGTTCTCTGAAAACATCCATTCAGTGTGCAGCGGCAGTGAAAAATAGAATGTTAGGAATCATTTAAAAAGGGATAGAGAATAAGACAGAAAATATCTTAATGCCTCTATATAAAACCATGGTACACCCACATCTTGAATACTGCATACAGAGGTGGTCGCGTCATCTCAAAATAGATATATTGACAGTGGAAAAGGTTCAGAAAAGGGCAACAAAAATGAAGAGGGGTTTGGAACGGGTCCCCTATGAAGTGAGATTAAAAAGTCTTGGACTTTTCATCTTAGAAAAGAGGAGACTAAGGGGGGATATGATAGAAGTCTATAGAATTATGACTGCTGTGGGAAAAGTGAACAAGGAAAAGTTATTTACTTATTCCCACAATATAAGAACTGGGAGTCACCAAATGAAATTAATAGGTAGCAGGTTTAAAACAAACAAAAGGAAGTTTTACTTCACTCAGTGCACAGTCAACCTGTGGAACTCCTCGCCAGAGGATGCGGTGAAGGCTAGAACTTTAACAGGGTTCAAAAAAGAGCTTGATAGATTCATGGAGGTTAGGTCCATCAATGGCTATTAGCCAGGATGGGTAGGAATGGCGTCCCTAGCCTCTGTTTCTCTGGAAGTAGGTGACTGGAGGAATCACATGAGGATTACCTGTTGTGTTCCCTCCCTCTGTGGCATCTGGTATTGGCCACTGTCGGCAGACAGGATACTGGGCTAGATGGGCCTTTGGTCTGACCCATTGTGGCCGTTCTTATGTTCTTATTCATACTGACTAAAGACCGTTTGAACAGCATTTCCACTAGAGAGATGAATGGGTAACCGGGTACCCGGTAAGCATTGCCCTTAACAGGTGATGCTTACCAGGTAATGGCTAACCGTTACGCGGGAGCAGCCCTGCGCCCGCCATTGGTGGTGGGCTGCTGCAGATCCATAGGGCTGCTGGGTCCCAGTATTGCGGGGGGGAGAGGAGGAGGTGGCCAGCCTCATGCACAGGTGGGGGGGAGCATGCTGGGGAGCTGTAGTGGTGGAGATGGGAGGAGCAGCAGGGCAGCTGGGAGCCAGTACCCCCTCCCCCCCTCCACTGCCCAGTCCCTCCCATCCACATGAGGCTGAGAGCCAGCAGCCCTGCAGGCTGCTCACACATAACAGTAAACTAGCTCAATGGGATTCCACATCCCTCCTTTCCACCCTCGCCTCTGCCTGGTGACTGACTCAGCTGCCTGTGCAGCTCCATTGGCCATGCTGCCCTCCGGCTGGGACCCTCTGCCCGGCTTAGCTGCTCAGTGCTGCTAGGCTCTGGGCAACCCTGCTCTGCTCTTGGCTGGTGGCCGGAAAGTGAATCCTCGTGTGCCCACGCAACACTCCTCCCAGCCCGTTCTGAGCAGCCGGATTTGTCCCAGCCTAATGTCCGGCTGGGAGGCCAAGCTCTGACCTCCTGCCTCCAGCCCAGTCTTGCTCAGGAAAGGAAGTAACAGAACTGCTTCTCAAGTTCCGTTCCGTTAAAGACGATAAAGGCTAAAGAGGAACGACAAAAAGGCTGAGTTACAGAACTGCTACTCCATGGGGGAGCAGTAAGTTTTGTAGGGGGGCCGCTTAATGAGTTTTGCTATGTGGTCATGGGTTGGCTCCACCCCCGGAAGGGGCGGGGCCTGGGAAGGAAGGGGTGGGACTGGGGATTACCCTCCCCCCAGAATTGTCTGGGGCTGGAGGCTTTGAATTACAAACACAGCAAAGAGCTCACAGCTCCTGGTCCCGCCGCTACCGCATTGCCTGGCAGTCGTCCGGGGTTGCTGCAGCTGTTTCACATGCTGGGACCTCGGCCCCTGCCAGGGTAGCACCACGGCTGAGAGCCATTTAAATAGGATCCTGCGGCCTGAGCCGCCGCCTGGGAATTCGGTGGCATGGGCAGCAGGATATAAATAGAAAGCTGCCAGGCCTCCAGGCTGCATCTTGCCCAGCCCTGTGTTATTCTGTAAACGCACCCGTACTTAAGCCCCAATCTTGCAAACATTTCTGCATGTGCCTAGCAGTACTTCTAAGCGCCTACTTCTAGGGGACTTCTAATGTGAGTCAAGTTAAGCAGCGGCATAAATGTCTGCTGATTTAGCACCTAAGACCATAATTCAGGCTATGGGCTCAGTTCTTCAAACCCTTGTTCACGTGCCTGATGGCTATAAGGAGATCAGGTCTTCTGCTGTGATGGATGGATTTCTGGCTCGGGTTCTAAGGCAGGCAGAGCCCCGCTAGGAAATGTGCATGAGTGCTCTTTCTCCACGCACACGGTATGACTCGTCTGAACTCATCTCTCCCACACAGAACCTTACACCTGCGGAGCTTGTGGAATCCAGTTTCAGTTTTATAACAACTTGCTGGAGCACATGCAGTCCCATGCAGGTAAGCCGGGTGCTTCTGATTTGTTTTTAAAGGCTTCAGGCAAAGTAGGGTATTAAATTCGTCACTTGATTCCTCGTGCCAGCCTGGTTGCATGTCCATAGAGCTCCCTGTATTTACGCTTCCCAAAGTGCCAGTAATGCCGCCTCTGCAGGAAAAAGGTAGACACCAGGGAGCATCAGGCAGTGGCTACAGGCGTGCCAGGCTCCGATGTGGAATTTGAGTGCCTATCTGAGGTCACTTTTCAAAGGCAGATTGAAAGCATTTGTACCGAGCATGTCGAATGAAATCTCTCCTGTCCCATTTATCCCTACAGTCTCCAGTAACCCAGGCAGATAGACTCCCTGGTCTACTCTGCATAGTTATTTTAAAACGGAGAGAAAGCTCTTGTCCCACACTTCCTGCCACATGTTTGTATGGACTAGTACTTTGCGGGGGGTGGAAGATCTATTTCACGAGGATTTCACAATAGTTTTCCCCATTTGACTTCATTCCTGCAGAAACAAGCCGTGAAATCTGTACTTTCTCCATGAAAGACAGCTCTAGAAAACAATCCATTTTGAGTCAATCTAAGGGTGTGTCTACACTGCACTGTTATTTCGAGATACCTAGCGTTATTTCGAAATAACAATGTGAACGTCTACACAGCAATTCCGTTATTTTGAAATAAGTTTGAAATCAGACGGCTTATTCTGACTTCTGTAAAGCTTATTCCGTGAGGAGTAACGCCTATTCCGAAATAGCTGTTTCGAAATAAGGCATGTAGATGCTCCACTGCTGCTATTTCGAAATAGCCCCCTTCCCAGGGCCGTTTTAAGTTATTCCTCCCCAGGTCCTCCTGGGGCTCTAAATCGAGATAGCGCATCCACATTCAGGGAGCCTGCCTCGGATTAATTTTGAGGCTTCCCTGCAGTGTAGATGTGCTATTTCGAAATAAGCTATTTCGGACTAACTATTCCGGAATATCTTATTTTGAAATAGCTGTGGAGTGTAGACATACCCCAAGTGTTGCAAAAAGTCAAAAAGGGACATTTTGACATTGTCCACATTTATTTTTTCCCAAAAAAACCTCAACTTGGGTGAAATCGACATACTCTCCCAAAGCATTTCACCTTAGGAGCCGTATTCTCCAGCAGAAAAGCTTTCCATCAAGTTTTTCTTACCTGGTGTGTGCTGTGGGCAACTCTCCCCCTCTCCTTGCACTTTGGTAAACTGTAAACAAACAGCTGGGACTCGGCAGATGGGGTGGGAATGGCGCAGGGGTAAGTAAGAGATGGGGACAGGCAGGGAGAACGGTCAGTTTAAAGGCCAAATGTAAGTATTTCAGACACGTGATGGCACCTCTTCTTCGCGCCATCTCATCTTCTGCACTAACAAACTCACGGGCCTCGTTTGCATCTCTTCTGCGGCGTGTGCGTGATTAGCTTAGGACACGCTTGTGGTAACAGGAAGCTCCCTGGTGTGATTTTTATTCCTACTGGGCTGTGTCCTCACCCTGCTATCTGGATACTTATAAGTCACAGTGATCTGACTGGCTGCAGCCCTCAGAATGTCCCGTCCGCATGACCAAAGAAAACATAACACCTTCTGTGCCTGTCACCTAACCTAACCCCCGCCTGACCCCGGCACCCCTCTTTCTGCCTGTCCTGGATCTCCACGTAGTGCCTGTTGCATTAGCTTTCCTCTTCCCCGGGGAGCATTCATCTCTGCTCCCAGTTGAAGCGGGTACTGCTCGCTTGATATCAATGACTTTGTATTTATTATTGGGGTTTGAGGGACAAGTCAAGGTGGCTTATTGGGATGTCAGATTCTGAAGGCAGTAACCACCCAGGACAGTGGTGGAAACGATATAATGACCACCGTCAGAGAGACCTGGTAGTCACAGCTTCAGTGTGGCGGTCTGTGTAAGTGAGAAGCAAAGGCAGTTGCAAGTGAGTGTTCCTGTTGCATCCTTGTACTCCAAATGACAGGGGCTTTTCAGCATTCTGTTGAATGACTTAATTGTATAATCAGTGACCCACAACACGGCTTGACGCCCTTCCCCAGCTGTCCTGAGGAAGCGGGTGTAACTGTGGATTGTCGAGTGCAGTATAACGGTGCTCCTGGTAGAGCGGCTTGCCCGAGCTGTGCTGGGTCGGGCGTAACCACGCACACTCAATGCATTTCTGGTGCCCCTCTCCATAAGTGACTGAAGTCCAGGAACATGCTGCTAGCCCGGAGGAGTGAGAGCAGGGGCTTGTTGGTCCTTCAGTGATTCTGGAGGCTAAACGGGTAATTAGACAAGCTTATAGCCACACAATGGGAAGAAGCAATTAGAATGCAAATTGGCGGCTGAGATGCAGAACTAGAAGCGCAGAATCCAAGGCAAAGGAATTTGTTCTGTAATTACACAGGACAATATCCAGCTTTCCCTCCCTTTGGAGTACTTTGTTCAGGCCGAGTGCTGCCATATAATGCCCTTTCTGCAATCTAGTATGAAAATATAAAAAGGACAAGGAGGCTGAACCTGGATTAAAGGATTGGAGGCATGAAGAGAAATTAAGGAACCATGATCTGTATAGTTCCCAAACTGACTGATAAGGAGGAGGAAACTGAAATGCACAAATCTTATTAACTCCGTATTGAACACCAATGGATAATTGCACATAATAAATCCCCTACTATTATGAAACAGATAAAGAAAAAACTGTTTTCCCCTGCCAAGGCCAGAAGGCTGATGAGTGAATGGGCCTTAAAGGAATAAAATTAATAGCAGCCTTGAGGCGTGACTCATGAACCTACCGGTAGGCACGCAGCGTTAATGCCATTTTGGATGTTTGCAATGGAGCGGTTAGACAGACCTGGGCGGGGACCAGTCACTTCGGATATGCTATCAAGCAGGGACACCCACTTTTGCTGTCTGCCTGCCACGCCCCCAAAGATCTGACATGCTAGCAGCTTCTCTTCAGCTGATTGGCGCATGGCACTGGGCCCTGCAAACTCTGAATGGTCCATTCTTGGCACACCAGGTAAAGCTTTACCTCCTTCAGGCGTGTCGAGGGACCCATGGCAGGTCATAAAAGCGGCCAGACTGGGTCCATCCGGCCCAGTGTCCGGTCTGCCCACAGTGGCCAATGCCAGGTGCCCCAGTGGGAATGAACCGAACAGGGAATCTTCACGTGATCTCACCCATTACCCATTCCCAGTCCCGACAAACAGAGGCCGGGGCACCATTCCCACCCATCCTGGCTAATAGCTACTGATGGACCTGTCCTCCATGAATCTATCTCGCTCTTTTTGGACCCATGTTAAAGTCCCGCCCTTCACAACATCAAAATGACAGAGATGTCCCATCGGAATAAGGTGGAAACTTGAGTGGCTCTCCCACATCCAAGCCAAGTGTCCTAACCATCTGGCTGTTAATTATTCTGGTCCACTGCAAATCCCCACCATGTTACACTTGATCTTCTGCGGCAAATAGCAGCTGTGTTCAGTTCCATGTTCAACAATTTCCCGACTCTTTTAAATGAGATCGACTGGGATGATGCGCCAGCCAGTGGGGCATGCAAACACGGTGTCTCTCTTCCAGCTTCCAGACTCCGCGTTCTCTGTCTGGCTGGTTCTTCCTCCATGAACTCCATCCATGCTTGTGACTGGCTCAGTGGACTGCTTGTCCGAATTAGTCCATGCAGAAGCCTCCCTGTCGGGCACAGGAGGGAGTTTTAGTTCCTTCAGTCCCTACCTTGATTCCAAGCATGCTGCTGTAAGTCATGCCTCCCTGGCATGTCCTCTCTCCCCCTCTCAGGGAGGCTGGCCCACCTAGAGGTTGATGACCGAGCTGGCTGCTCAATTACCTGAGGCCCTTTCTGCTCATTGAGGTAGCCCGTGCAATAATATGGTAGGGACTCAGAGAGGAGCTGGGAAATCCCAGATGGAAATTACCCACAGATCGGTTGTTTTCCCATCCTAAAATAACATTGTTTTCTGCTGTTGGTAAAATATTCAGTAAACGCAACAGCAAATGTTTCTGGTGTCACACGATTAAGGAAAGCGAAAGTGAATGGTAAATAGTAAATGGAGCTTGTTCCCCCTTTTCTGTTCAGCTCTTTTATCCTGCTGTCTTCTGGAGAGTCGGCATTTCTTATAGCCCCACAACAGATCCTGGCACATGGCTGGCTGTGTGTGTGTGTCCCTTTGCATCGCGGGGAAATGCTCCTCTTGTGCCTCTGATTAACGCCTTCTTGTTTGTGCCCCACAGCTGACAATGAGAACAATATTGCCTCTAACCAACCCAGATCACCTCTGACTGTTGTGGAAGAAAAGTGGAAACCACAGCTCCAAAGAAACAATGCCAATAATAGTATGTAGCCGTGTTTTCTCGTACGTTTCCCTGTAGGCTTGGAACCTATGGCTTTGTGCCTTGGGGGAGGGGGTCACAGCAGTGGTCAAAGTCCATGTCCTGTACTTGTCAGCCATGCTTTCATCGTGTATTTTTTCTCAGCTAGTCCCACCAGATCTCAAGTGCTATTAGCATCCTATAACCTATTGCACTCATTCCCCCTAAAGCAGGTTTTCCCAACCTATGGGTCGGGACCCAAATAAGGGTCGCCATTACATTTCAACAGGGTCGCCAAGTGTCTCCCCAGGTGGCTGTGCCTCTCCTCCTTCCCCTGTTTTTGAATTGCCTTGGGTCACCAAGTCTTCCTGAATTGTCAAAATGGGTCCCCATCTGGAAAAGTTTGGGAACCGCTGCACTAAAGCATCTTTGAAATATGTGCAGAGGATATCTGGGAAGTCCGGGGGAGATGGTGGAGAGGTTGTCGTAGTAGGAAAAAGGCTGAGAGAGTGTTATTGTCTCTGAAGTACTTCACAAAGCCAGTCTTACTGGGAGTTGTAACTTCTTCTCTGGGGCCAGGTCTACACTACACCTGGAAGATCGAGTCGGGGTATGCAACTCCAGCTATGTAAAATATGTAGCTGGAGTCAGCTTACCTGAAGCCGAGCTTGGCGCCTTCTTCACAGAGGGAGGCCGACGGTCAGCTTCCCTTATTCCTCGTAACTGGGAGGACTACTGATGCTGACGAGAGCTGCCCTTGGTGTTCGATTTAGCAGGTCTTAACCAGACCTGCTAAATCCAACACCAGAAGATCAATCTCTGGTGCAGCAAGTGAAGGCGTGGCCACAGTTTGGATTTCTTTGCCATAAGGAAAGAAATCAGTGCAGTAGGTGTCACCAGAGGGCAGCCAACAAGATTTTTGATTTCACCACTGGACCTTGGGCAAGTCACATGATCTTGAGCTTCAGTCGCAATCCATGTGGGAAATGGGGGTATTTATAGATAAAAAAAGCAGCAATGCTAAAAAATCAGAGCTGAGCTTCCCTTGGATAAACCAGATGCATTAAATACCTAATATTTGTGTGGCCCAAAATGTCGGAAACAACACGCAAGCCTCAGAGCCGTCACAAAAGCAAACTAGAGCTGAGGAAGGAGAAAGAAAACGTTAAACTGTACAGCAGGGCTACTCAACTTTGCAAGCCCCAGGGGCCACAATGAGACTCACAACACACAGGCCCCATTTAAGTCAGTTCTGCTCATATTAATAAAATGCAACATTTACCCGATTTCAACCCATATGGCAGCACTTTTCATGAGCAATGACAGTCCAGGAATTGAACTACTAAAAAGCATCTCAACAGGAGACCATTATATTGACTCACCGTTGTGGAGCATGTTCCCAGTGGAGGCCATGTTCAAAGGATCCCACACGCAGGCCATGTGTTGAGTCCTGCATAAACCCAAACCGCACCGTGGGCATGCGGCTCACAGGCCATGTATTAAGTAGCCCTGCTGTACAAGTTTGACCATCAGGGTAGTTCACCAAAAAATCTAGACTGATTGTGCATATAAAACCTAGGTAGATGCAGCTCTTATTATAAAAATGTTGCGCGAACACGAGTCCCGACTTCTAGACAGAAGAAGAATGGAAAGGCCAACCTAGCTCACTGAGACATGCCAGGTGAATCCAAGACCTAACTGATAACCCTGATGCACAGTCAACTCGTACCGTGCGTAATTATAACTTACGTAGAGAACCCCTCGCTGAGTCCCTCCAAGAGGTCTCCAGGGAAGGACAGAGGACAGCTGCCTGGGGTATTGTGCTGAATCCTGCGTAATCCCCTTTTGCTGTGCTATGTCTGAGTCAGGGAAAACATACC